TCGCCGAGTTCACTGATTTCCGAGTTCGGTCCTGTCCAACTCACTGAGTCCACACTCAACTCACTAAGCTGAGCCTTGACTCGAAGGGTTTGTGTAACATCCCGGAATCGCAAGAGTAGAGTTGAAGGGCTAAAAGTGTAAGTTTCGGAGGGTGACTCGGCGAGTCCATGGATAGACTCGGCGAGTCCATGGATAGACTCGGCGAGTCAGGTCGCGGCTATGGTCGCGTGTCAAGTGGCCTACTCGGCGAGTCCAAAGATGGACTCGGCGAGTAGGTGCTGTATGGAGAAACCCTAATTTTCGGGGTTGAGCCCTATATAAAGATCATTATACCCCTCCACAGCCTCCCTTATTCCCCCCTTGAGTTCCAGAAACCTTAAATTCGTGGAGAGTCCATTTGTGGAGCAAATTAGAGCTTGGAGAGGTGTTGGTTGAAGAAATCTTGAAGGAGGAGTGGCTTGGATCAAAGGGCTTTGCTTGGATTCGAGTTTGGTTGCTATTGAGGCATCTTTTGGAGGTAATACTTTCGTTCTTGGGTTGTGATTTCCTAGTTTCTCATTTTGGGGTTGTGTGGGGTGCTTGGTTGTGTGACATCTTGATGTTGGAGGATGGATCTGAGGTTGCTACCTCAGATCTGGAGTGAAGAAGATCTTAAGAGCATTAAAGCCCCTGTTCTTGTGTTGTTGATGGAGCTACCATGTCCTAAACCTTGGTTCTAAGGTGAATAAGGCCTAGATCTCTTTAGATTCACGTAAAGTTTGCCACTTTACGTGATGGATGGATTGTAGGAGGTTGGATCTATGTTTTGGATCAATTGCATGGCCTGAGATGCTTCTGTATGGATTCAGACCGGTGGTACTCGACGAGTCATATGGGGCGACTCGACGAGTTGCTTGAAGATGGCCTGGAACTCGACGAGTTGGAAGAACAACTCGGCGAGTAGGTTGAAGATAGCCTTGGACTCGACGAGTCCATTTGGACTCGGCGAGTCTTGTCGAGGAAGTCCCAATATTTCTGGTTGAGTCGATGAATCGGTGAGTCAAGGGATGACTCGGTGAGTTGGGTGCGAGTGGACTCAGAGTTGTTGGACTCGACGAGTCTTGGGGTGACTCGGCGAGTTGGGTCGCTAATTGAAGGAAGTTCTGAGCATATGGACTCGGCGAGTCATCGGGTTGACTCGGCGAGTAGGGTCAGTCAGGGGTTGACTTTGACTTGTCCAAGGTTGACCAGTTGTCTTCCAGGGGTATTTTGGTAATTAAGGGTATTTATTGAGTTGTATGTTTTGATGTTCAGTGGAGGAGTTCGTGTCAGAGTTCGGAGCAGCGGGATCTTATCCTTTCAGCCGACAGTTTCGAGGTGAGTTATCCTCACTATATCAACAGGGTCTAAGGCACCAAGGCCGGCCCTTTATTGGATTGAGATTCGGATATGGTTATTATGTTATTGTTTGATGTGTCTGCATCCTGGTAGCTAGGATGGTACATGCTAGGAGACCTTGTTAAGGTCAGTTTCCCGATATACAGAGTGATGCTATGCTAGTGACCGGTTAGGTCGGTAACCCGGTTAGGGTAATGATATGCTATGTGATCTGCTTGCTCGGTTTGTTGACTATGACTGTTATATGAATGTATGTTTTGTGCACATGGTTGTTTGGACTGGAGATGGGTTGAGGCGGGTCCTGCTTTGTGCTGTAGGCCAAGATACCCAAAGGCGGACCGGTTGTTCCGAAGGCCCAGCGAGCGGTCCGGATAGGCTGTAGGCCCCACGAGGGCGGACCAGATGTGCCAAGGCTCGGAGAGTGGACCAGGCCGATTGAAGGCCCGATGCGGGCGAACCAGTCACACTGTAGACTCAGAGAGTGGACCAGGTGGGTTGAAGGCCCGATGCTGGCGGACCAACCCCACTGTAGACTCGAAGGACATGACTAGACCTGGAGGATGGATCTGATGGACTGAAGGCCCGATACGGCGGACCAGTCACACAGTAGACCCGATATGCATGGTTGTTCTATGTTCTGTTATGTCATGTATGTTTTATATGTTTTGGACCGGAAGGTCGCAGCCTGGAAGGGCGTATACGTGGTTGGTATTTTGGGGGTATCTCACTAAACTTTCGGGCTTACAGTTGTGGTTTAATGTTTTTCAGGTTCTTCAGGAGACTGTGGCAAGGCGAAGGCGCGATCGTACCGCTCCTCATGATTTTGTTGCAATGTGATTCTGGGAATACTCTAATGATTTGTATTGAAAACCTTTTTGTAAACATTTTAATGAAAATCGGGTTGTTTTGAAAAATTTAAATTGGTTGTATTTTTCGGATTTTACAGTTTGGGGTTTCGCGACTTGACTCGCCGAGTCCAAGAATAGACTCGCCGAGTCCAAGGCAATCTTCAACAGACTCGCCGAGTTGTTCATCCAACTCGTCGAGTTAGCCTCCATCTTCATATTACTCGCCGAGTCCACTCAAAGGACTCGCCGAGTCTATTCAGTCCTTAATCCATGCAGTGGTTTTTCGAGCCAAACAGGGCTTCCAACTCATAGATCCATACTTGTAAGGCCTATCCCTCACGTAAAGTGGCAAACTTTACGTGTAGATCAAGAGATCTAAGCTTAAAACAATCCAAACTAGGGTTTAAGACAAAGAGGCTTCACTATCCACCCAAAAACAGATGCTTTATGACTTTCCAGGCCAAGATACACTCAGATCTGAAGTAGCAACTTCAGATCTGGGCTTCTAACTCAAAATAGTTCTTAAGCATGGCATAAAAGCTCCAAATCTCATAGCCAAGGTTGATCTATTAAACCAAAAGAGGGAAGGTAACAATTTATTACCTTAAATGCTCAGAAATGCTCCACCAACTCTGGATCCAAGGCCCCCTTCTTACTCCACAATGACTATCCTCTCTCTCAAGCTCCAAAAAGCTTCACTAAGGGTTAGATCTTGCTCCAAAACGATTATAGCGGCTAGGGTTTATTGTTCTGAGTGAAAGAGGCACTAAAGGAGCCTTAGGGAAGAGAATGAGGTGTTTAAATAAGCTCCAAGTCCCGGATTTAGGGTTTTCCTTGCCCAGACCAGACTCGCCGAGTCACCTTGGCTGACTCGCCGAGTCGGTCGCTTACTCCTCGACCCGGACCCCGCTCGGACTCGCCGAGTCCCTCCTTGGACTCGTCGAGTCTCTCCTTAAAATTGGGGTTTTCTTTCTTTTCTTGGCTTTCCAACTTTGGGTGTTACACTAATGCTAATTACATCCAAAATCTAGTACAAAAACATTCAGAAAAGCACGAGTTTCCTAGTATGCTTGGAAGTATTGATTGCATACATTGGCCTTGGAAAAATTACCATGTTGCATGGCAAGGTCAATATACTCGAGGTGATCAAGGTTGTCCAACAATTATGCTAGAAGCAGTTGCATCACAAAACCTTTGGATATGGCATGCATATTTCGGGGTTGTCGTGTCTAACAATGATATTAGTGTACTTAACCAGTCACCGTTATTCAATGATGTATTACAAGGTTATGCTCCTTAATGCAATTTTACTATTAATGGAAGAACATGCACAAAAGGATATTATCTTGCAGATGGTATATATCCTGAATAGGCTACAATGGTTAAAAGTTTTCTACATCCGGCTGACCCAAAAATGATCAAATTTAAAGAAATGCAAGAGGCTACAAGAAAGGATGTGGAGAGAGCATTCGGTGTTCTTCAATCTCATTGGGCAATTGTAGGAGGTCCAACAAGATCTTGGCAACTTAAAAAGATAAATGATAGAATGTATACATGCATTATATTACATAATATGATAGTAAAAAATGCAAATAGTAATTGGTGAGATGATATTTCAGAACGTTTTATTAATATGTAATTTCATTATGTTGTATTATAATAAATAAGATGTTATCTTTTTAAAATCTTTTTAAGATTTATATATATTTTTATTGTTTAGAATAAAAAATATGAAGTAACTTAATAAATTAAATTATTGAATATAAAATAAAATAAAGTATATATATATATATATATATATATATATATATATATATATATATATATATATATAGTTTGTTTATTGCAAAAAAAAAAAAAATATTACTTTCTGTATAAATTGAGAAAGAAAAACAAAAAGAAAAAATAAGTTTTTATAATAAATTGAAAAAAAAAATAATAAATATTTATAATAAATTGAGAAAGAAAAGAAAAAAAAAAGAAAAAAAAAATAAATCTCATACCACATTGAATGGAGGATTAAACCCCCATTCATTCAACTCACCTCACAATGCATATTATATCTATTCAACTGTTAGATATACACTTTTTTCTCATTAAAATCCCCATTGGAGATGGTCTTACACTTAGTTTCTAATAAAATAATAGTTTTATTCTTTTTTAACATGTGTTATCTTATTAGACCTCCTAACTAATGCATATATTATTCTTTTGTCACGTGTCATTCTATTATGTCTTCTAATTAATATTTGCCACTTGTCAACCTATTGATTATTCATTTTAAAATTTTCACTTTATTTACATTAAATTAATAGCATTAACATAAAATTAATATAAATTATAAAGTGATATAATTTCATATATTTATTTAAATCAATGATTATAATTTCATATAACTAAAAGAATCTCTTAATTAAAATTTTATTTAAAATAATTGATTAATAACTTTGAATTTTTACTTATAAAAAATTAATTTATTTTGTAACAATAGACTTATAATATAATATGTTGATCAGAGTTTTGTTTTATTTTTAACGAATTTAAATGTTTAAACTAAACATTTAGGTAGGTCGAACAAATTAAAAAGTCAAAAATACTTCATGGTGTTACTAGTAGATATACTTTTTAATCATATTTAATAATTTAATGATTTATAAAACTAAAAGAAATGGATAAAAAAATCATTTGTGGGTCCGGGTCGGGTCACCCGCTAAAAAGGTCAAATTGGTAAATTGGGGATACGTATAAATATGAAAACGAATCAGTTTGTAGTATATGCTTGTGCAGCATAGAGGGATGGAGGGGAAGAAACCAGAAGGTTTGTCGGGTGAAGTAACGAATCAGCATCCATGTAATCTTCCGATGTCGGTCATCTCTTCGGCACTTTTATTCATCATTCGGGTTTTCCCCAAATCAATGATCGATCATCAACAGCATTTTATCTTTGATTGTCTGCGTATTATCAAGATAAAAGTAAGTTCTTAATTACAGTACGCGTTAAGTTAATCTTTGATTGAGATTCACTGACTAATTTTTAGGGTTTACTACATAGAATCCGGACTGAAACTTATAAGGGATTTCATATCCTTGATTATGTATGATTGCCTCTAACACGTAGTGTGTGGTATTGTACATTAGACATGGATTTTCCTGAAGTAAACAAGAAATTACTTGGTGAACTTGAAGAAATGGGTTTCCCATTGGCTCGAGCAACGAGAGCACTTCATTATTCCGGTTAGTTCATTGTCTACTTTTTTGTTGCAGGATCTTTTTATAAAGTAGTGTCATGTATTAGACTCGGACAATAGAACAAAACACCCAAAAAGATGTTTATTGCATTTTTATTGTTAACATGAGCATAAAGTTTCTTTTGTGAAGGTAACTCTAGTTTACTGGATGCTATTAGTTGGATTGTTGATCATGAGGATGACCCTGAAATTGATCAAATGCCCTTGGTGCGATTCATATTATAATTGTTACATCCTTGAAAAATATCACATATCTTTATATTATTACTGTATTAATTGTGTTCTGATCCACCAGGTTCCATTAAGAATTGAAATTGAGGGTTCCGACTCTTCTTCTTCTGTATCACAAGAAGTAAAGCTAAAAGCACAAAAACTAAGGTTTTTTCATGTCTTTTTTTTTTTGGTAAATGTTATTCTCCCATGATTGTTTGTTTTCTGTATTGAATACCTCTGTTTATGCACAATTCAGAGATAAAGCACGCAAAAGGAACAAGGAGGAAAATATGAAACTTGAACCAAGTAGAGAGAAGGTATCGTGGACATTCCCTTATCATGTCATTAAGGGCTAAATGCAAGAAATAACAACATACTTTCATTTATTTGTATATCATAGCATCCTTACATCATTGTACTTCCAATTTTTTATTCTCATAAGGAATCGAACTTTGAAATTACTATTTCTTGCATTTAACTCTTTTGTTCCTCATTTGTTTTAATTGTTTCTCTAAACTCATATACAGGAAAAAATTTATCACTCTCTTTTACATTTATAGGAAAGAATTCGGGCAGGAAAAGAACTTCAAGAGGCAAAGAGAATTGCAGACGAAAACGAAAGAAAACGGTCACTTTTCTAGAAATCCCAAATTGTTCTTTTTTAATAAAAAAAATTGGTTTCTCTTAATGTATTTATATAAGCTTCTTTAATTACTTCATAATACTCAGTTCTATAGCCTTGAGGAAAGCAGAAAAAGAAGAAGAAAATAGAGCACGTGAAAGAATTCGTCAGAAACTACACCAAGACAAGGTTGCTCCTGAAATAGCAACGTATTTTCATTGATTTGTTTGTATTAGTATCAATGTTATACAAATAAAAAGCAATAGATTTTTACAAGTATTTTAACCTCATAAGAAAAAAGGTTGAAAGTACAATTCTAAGATTGGTAAATTTATAGTCAGTGCTCTTTATGCCATAGGTGGAAAGAAGAGGGGGAATCCAAAGTCATGCATCTCTTAAAACCACCATACCTGTGGTGCAAGAAAATAAGGTTAGCTTATGTATTTAATGTCTAATATTGTGAACAAGATGATGAATTTTTTTATTATTGAAAATCAGATATCGCCTGTTATTACTTCTACTAGAATCAGTGTTAATTCAACAACAAAGATGGATCTCATGAGAGACTGTTTAAGGTCCCTCAGGCGAAACAATAAGGTGTGCTTTAGTTTAACTACTGTTACAGATATTTTTTTATAATTTGAATAAGCTTTTTATTAAATTTGTTGCAAAAACAGGAAAATGATATGAAAGTGAAGAGAGCTTTTGAGACTCTTTTAATTTATGTCAGAAATGTTGCAAGAAATCCCAATGAGGATAAATTCAGGAAGATCCGATTGAGTAATCCAGCTTTTAAGGTAATTGCTAGTGTGTGTGTGTGTGTGTATAGAAGTAAAAGTATTTTGCTATTATGTGTGTAGAATAATAGAACTGAAATTACTACATTGCTATTGGTGATTGAAAAAACAGGAAAGAGTTGGGATATTTGAAGAAGGGGTTAAGTTTCTTGAGGTTTGTGGGTTTAAAAGAGCTGAAGGCGGTGAGTATTTGCTTCTTCCGAGAGATGAAGTTGACGTGGCGGTGTTGAAGTTTGCTGGAAATGAATTGCAGTCTGCTATAACAAATCCATATTTTGGACTTTTATCAACCCAAAAATAATCATGTAAATTCAACCATACTTCCTTCCATAATAAGACCCCATAAATTATAAATAGATATTTTGATTAAAATTCTCATATTTATGTATCAAATCACATGTCAGGTAACTTTTTTTTTTTTTTTTAATATTTGTTTATTATGACATCCTGCTTTAGGACACATTCCACGGTGTCACACATCCTTGGGGGCTACATTTGGTCAATCAAAGAATTAAGAAATGTAGGAGAAATGCATCAAATATGTAGTACTCATTTATGAGGAACATTGTTTATGCTTGTATTTGCTCTGCTGTTTTGTCCAATCATTGTTAAAGAAGAGCCACAAGTGCATAAACATAAATAAAAATACAAGAAAATTTAGTTGCCTCTTTTACTTTAAAATGAGCTTTCAAATTTCCTTAAGACTCTTCTAATTTATGTTAGAAATGTTGAATGAAATCCCGATGATGGATTCATGAAGATTCCGTTGACTTGTACAACTTTTAAGGGAAAGTACTTTTGTTTCTTTTTTTTTTGGAAAATTTCATATATATATATATATATATATATATATATATATATATATATATATATATATATATATATATATATATATATATATATAGAGAGAGAGAGAGAGAGAGAGAGAGAGAGAGAGAGTCAAGATCAAATAAGAAGGAAATTTTTGGTAGGAAGGTAAGAAGTTTTTTTTCTAAATATTTTTTTCGTTAACAAACAAAATGAATCATTAGATGATTCATTTGTAAGATGATTCACAAGAAAAAATTCTCAAAATAACATCTCGATGATTCATTTATACAATGATTTTATTGTTATTCACTAAAATTATCATAAAAATGAATTTTTTCTTAATTTACTTAAAAATGAATCATAAAGATGTTTTTTTGAGAATTTTTTCTTGTGAATTATCTTACAAATGAATCATCTAGTGATTCATTTATTTTGTTCGTCAAAAAAATATGTAGAAAAAAAACTTCTTACCTTCCTACCAAAAAAAAATTCTTACCGGATCTATATATATATATATATATAACCTATAAATTCACACACAACACACACACACACAAGGAGTGACTCTCTCAATTGAGAGGTCATGGGTTCAAATCTCATTGGTGACATATGTGGTAATTTATGAGTAGATTAGTTTGTTGTTCCAAAAAAAATGATAATTAATATATTTAAAAATTCAAAACAATATCTTTAAGTTAAATTATAACGAAATTATTAAAATACATATTTGCATTCTCTCCCTTAATCAATCTTCTTATTCACAATAGCAAAACTCATTGATTGCATATTATAATTGTTAAACAATGTGATTCATCTCCTAAAATCAATTTACAACCAGTGGCGGATCCAACTTGGAAGTCAAGTGAGGTGCAAAGTTAACCGTTGACCGGTGTAAAAAAAAACAAAAATTAGAATAACATTCGAACGTTTAACTAAATATCATTTTACAATTGAAATCTACGAGGACACATCGCTAAGAAATATTTGATAATACTTTCATTTGTAACCTTGGAAAATCTTTCTCGTTCAACCACGCTAATTACACAATCATTTAAAAATTCATCCGCAATTCGATTCCGCAAATCCGACTTTACAAGCTTCCTGGCGGAAAAACACCTCTCCACCGTTGCGATTGCAACCGACAAGACCAATGACAACTTCACTAACCGATAAATAAAAGGAAAGGAAAGAATCATCTTGGTTTTCACCATCACTTTAACAAGGTTAAATATACTATTCTAAGTGGCAAATCTTCCATCCTATTGCATATAAGTCGGGTAAACCGAAAGTTCATATAAAATATCCAACCTATCTTTATAGCTGAAATCATGTGGATAGAAATCGATCAATTTCTGTAACTTTGATGGGTCAAAGTCACAAAATGAATCACGTGGATTCAAACTCATTATACAAATAAGCAATTCAGAACTTACTTCATTAAAACGATCACCGAACTCTTGAATTTGCATATCTAAAACCATGTTGAAACATACACACATACATACAAAAAAAAAAAAAAAAAAAAAAAAAACCTCATAATAATGGCGATTGGAGATATTGGTATATTGTCTTCGGGCTCTTGGATTAACATAAAATTCCTCCATGTCTGACATTTGAATGTCATTATTCTCACAAAAAGAGGTGATATCCAATATAAGTGCATTAAACCCATCATTTGTCATCTTTTTTTAACGTTGCAATTGTTTATTTCACCAAACTTATAGCATTCACGATATCTTGATCCTTTCTTTGTAGAGCTTGTGATAATAATTATGTGATCCCCAAAAATTTCAACATCAATTGCAACCGGAACACAAAATTAAGTGATTGAAGATATATTGGAAGACCATTTGCTTGGCATTGACTAAAACTATTAAGGCACACATCTTCAATATATTCAAGCACCTCAATTGTAGATGAAAACAAGCCAACCAAACGCGATAGAGTTTTGTAATGAGAATTTCAACGTGTATCTCCGACTCTAGTAAGAGAAAGACTCTAACATCATATTTGTTCATTTACAAGAAGCACACACAACATTCATTAGAACAACTACCATATCAAAAAAGACTCCAACATCGTGATGTTTTTTTGCAACCATCACAATGACTAGTTGAAGTTGGTGAGCAAAGAAGTGAACATAATATGCAAATGTATTTTCTATAATGATTAAAGATTTTAAACCATTAAAGTTCCTAATCATATTGTTTGCTCCATCATAACCTTGAACCCTAATCTTCGTCAAACTCAATCCATATTCAGAAAATAAAGAGTCAATAGCATATTTTAAAGACAATGCAAATGTCACTTCACATGAATAGGACTAATAAATCTTTCTTTAACGATATACATGATCTCAAACTGAGAAACTTGGGAACATCAGAGTAGTTCTAAAAGACTTTGATTGTGCAACAAGGGAGTAGAAATTGTGTACATGGTTTTTGGTCGCACATGGGTATAAAATTGAACAATATACAAAAATGTTTGACAATTTTATTGATTGAATCTTCGGCTGAAACTTACAAATCTTTATTTTGGCAGGTACCCTTGCTCGTCTGGATAGGGATGCTCCACATTATAAAAAGTATGTTACTTCACTATTTTTTTTAATTATTTTTATCTTTATTTATATCACTAGTTAAAGTATATTGCTATTTCTAAAGTTATAAAGTTATAGAGAGTTCATTTTGATGAAGTACAATCAACAAGTTTCTAGCTTTTTTTATCATCACCATTTATGATTTGTTAAACATAAGTATTATATATTTTTCGACTTTTTGACACTTGTACATTCTAAATATGCATAAAGATTTTAAGATACAACCAATAATAGATAGGATTACTAGTTAAAGAAAAAATCAAATTCTTTATTTGCACTCTTTAATCATTGGAGTATTAGTAACTAAAAGCATGTGCTAGCCATCTCAACTTATGTAACATCCCCACATTGAGGTATTTCCAAAATTAACTCTTAAGTATGAAGGTTTATGTTTTTATCCCTTGTGTAACACTTGAATTAGGTATGTTCCTTTTAGCCCTTTTAAATTAAAATATTGCAATTTGGTCCTTGGGGTTGGTACGTGGGGCGTACCACATGGTAGGTGTAATGTCGCAAAACTTTCAACAAATTTTAACTTTTCAAAACAACTCATTTAATAAAAACTATTGTTTCCAAAACATTATTTGAAATTGGAATCGTTTACAACATAGTTTTCAAAACACTTTCATTATCAAAGTTCGCATAAATCATAAGTCCCAAAAACATGAGGATGTGTACGGTCACGCCTTCACCTTGCTATCCACTGAAGTAACTGAAACCATAAACCAAAACTGTAAGCACGAAGCTTTGTGAGTTTCCCCCAAAATACCACGACACGGACAAATAACATATACCAACAAATAGCATGCATTAGGGCCTTCAACATAACTAGAACGCCCTACCAACCTACAGTCTATCTGGTATGCCCACAAGGCCTTTAGTCTTACTAGAACACCCCACCGGCATGCAGTTTATCTGGTACGCTTACATAACCTTTAGTCTGACTGGAACGCCCCACTGGCCTACAGTCTATCTGGTATGCTCACAAAACCTTTAGCATGATTGGTATGCTTTACCGGGCCTTCATCCTATCTGGAACGTTCTCCAGGCCTTCGGCCTGATTGGTACGCCCCACTGGCCTTTAGTCTATCCAAGACGCCCTGGGTCTGTTGGCCTTTAGCACCAAGCAGGACCGCCTTAACCTAACTACACATACACCATGTCAATACACATATATAAGCCAGTAAACTATATCAACATATCGATATAAACATTATCGGGTTTGTTGATTGACAGCACGAAGCAGTACATACTCAACCCACCCACACCATAACGACATATAAACAACTAAACATATAACCAGATAATCAGGAAGATCTTACAAATCTCTAAGCATAGCATCATCCTGCATACCAGGATACAAATCTAACATATCAATGCAGAACAATAGCGTACATATCCGGATATCAAAACCAAAGGGTCGGCCTTGGTGCCTTCGACCCATAAGTACAGTGAGGAACACTCACCTCTTGATCTGATCCATAGTTGATGACGCCCCGAATTCGAATCTCAACTCTAACTAATACCTATCCATCGAAGTGAACAAAATAACCATCAAAATTCCAAAATATCAAAATACCTAACATACCCTTTAGGTCAACTTGGTCAAAGTCAAAAGTCAAAGTTAACAATCCATGTTAACTCCAACACGCCATGTTGATTTGCAAATCCAAATGGTCGGCCTTGGTGCCTTCGACCCATAAGTATAGTGAGCAACACTCACCTCTCGATCTGATCCATAGATGATGACGTCCCGACTCCAAATCTCAACTCCAACCAATACCTATCCATCGAAGTGACCAAAATAACCATCAAAATTCCAAAATACCAAAATACCCTTTAGATAAACTTGGTCAAAGTCAACAATCCATGTTAACTCTAACACGTCGTGTTGATTTGCAAACATATCATGTTCCTCCCGCATCCAAACAGTCGGGAAAACCCTAGCCAACACGCCGTGTTTGCCAGAGTTCCAGCAACTTAATCCATTAAGCTGCTTCCTTTGATTCCCAGAGCTCCAAAGCTTAGATCTGGACCAAAATAATAATAAGAAGGATAAAGTTTCCAACTTTATCCTCTGGGACTACTCCATAGGATCCAAAACCCATCTATAAGTTTTGAAAATGCAAGGACTTAACCAATAAGTACTTAATTCTTAAATTTGATGCCCAATACTTTCCAGAAGAGGTTCTAGCACTAAAACCATCCTAAAGGTAGGTGCTTTATAGACATGTATGTCCAATGTATGTCTTGAA